GACGCCTTTGGGGCGGAGGCATTTGTGTAAGTACTACGATCGCTTTGAAAGAATTTCAAAAATTGCACGAATGCGTTCCCCAGGGAATTGGTTTGGAGGAAACCTTCGGCCATGTGGTTTTTGGATCAAGCAGGTAACTTACACGGGGTGCCCACGTGCCACCCATCCAGCTGCCTGGCATGATTAATTAGTGGTCATCAGTCTTCTCCCCACACCATGGACAGAGAGCACAGCTGTCTTTGGCCAAAGACCATATTCAAACAGGTCACAGAGAGAAAAGAAATTATCTGTCCTTTTGGAACCCACAAAAGGTAAAAAAAAGTCAAAGGAGTAACAACTTCAGATCAGACATAAAATCCAGTCTCTGGTGGAGGATAGAGTGAAGTGGAGGATGGTTTTCAGTTTGGTTCTAGCGGGAACTCGATCGAGTAAGTATGTCATCATAAAATCTATATTGCTGGGGAAGAATGGCTGAATCCTCCTATACGTGTATTTGGTATATTGCCCCACACCTCCTCCACCAATCCTGTAAATTTCACTACGTGCATGTCTTTATAACATAGGGAAATATGTTTTTCTGATAATTGTAATGTAGATTGCTAGCTCCACCACATGAAATAATATATATCATTCAGTCGTCGCCTTGGCGATGATTTTTATTGCCTCAGCCTTGTTGTGAATATCTTGCTTTCTTCATTGTAGTGAATTTGTCTATGATTTTGCCTATGTATTTTCCCACTGGTAACAGGCAGTTAATACAGCAGGAAATTAGAGTCAGGAAATGAGATAATCATTTTCTGGGACCTTTGACCTAACTTCCTGTTGTGCTTCCTTCCCATGTGTGCCCAGATGTAACATGACTTTTGTCAAATGTATTGAAGGCAACTTTTTTGGCAGTGCCTCAGGGGTGGATCCTTTTTTCCTGATCAAGTTACCTGAGCTTTTGCCAGTTTCTTCTCCAGTGTGTCCCGTTCAGTCGCTGTAGACTGTAACCTGGTACTCAGCTCCAGAATTTCTCCCTTCAGCGAGGCCAGGGCAGCCAAGTGGAGCTGTGCAGATATAGAAAGAGTACAGTTCAGACTGTTTGTCACAAAATAACATGGGTTTTTACTAAACATCTCAAAATGTACATGCTTATAGCTAACTTTCTTAAACCATGTTAGGTATGTCTCAGTTACAGACACTGTAGTTATAGTACCTCTAGTTATGTAGTATTTTACTACTGTTCCTATTTCTTTATCAAATGTTTACTGCAAACACTCGCACGAGGGCAAATCGTAAGGCCTAGGAAAAAAAATGTTGTGTTTCCGGTTACCCGACCGACCCTATGAAAAACCCCCCGACCCTAGCCTTTTTTGGGCCGACCAAAAATTTCGAGCGGCTAGCGGTCGGTTTTCAAAATTGGGGATTTTATCCCCGATAAATGTGCTCGTCATTCCAATTTTCTTCGGTCGGGCGGCGTGGATCGAGCGCTAATTGCACGGATCGGGCCGCTATTCAATTCCATTGTCGGCACAATCCTGTCAATTGACGATGAATTGTCGATCTCGCCATGACGCCACAAAGAAAACGTTGTCATTGGTAGAAAATCTGACACCCCGCTGGCGTTTCACAACAAAATTTTCATGTAAACAACTCCGACTGTCTTTGTTTACATCGCGAAAGCTCACCGATACAAAGTAAAACTCCCGCCGGCCGGCCGCGCCCGATCGCATGGTTGCGGCATGGCGCTAAGTTTTCGGCAGCTTGACGGAAAATAATCCATCCCCAGAAGAAATGTCACGCATGAAAATAACAACTACAACTTGTTTTCCTCGTTATATGAGTTTTTGAGGCCGTAAAATGTTTAAAACGGTTGAAATTTGCTCGAAAAAACGGCTCGAAAATTCACGGCGAGAAAGACAACATGGCCGACCTGTTTTCACAAAAACAATGGTCAAAGGTCAAGATAGCATCCAAATGTATAGATACATGTAATAAGTACATATTACAGTGCTAAAACGATACTTTAAACGCATGAAAATATATTTTTTCGGCTACAACTGAAATAAAAATTCAGTTATATTTTTAGTAAGGTTAATTTTCAAACATTACTGAGAAATTTTCCGAATTAATTGGTTTCTTGTGTAATATTGTTGTTTCTATGTATGTGCGGTTGGATGCTGTCATTGTAAAGACCCTTTACATATTGGGAGAATCAGATGAGATATTAGAGATTATCACGCTTAGTACCGTGACCCGAGTGTCTCTCAAAAATTGTTCTTGAGTGGAGTTTTATAAACATGATCACATTTTATTTGTTCAGCTGTGTCAATATGTGATTTGTTTGAGAAATAGGATTTGGTTTAGTTTTTAATATATTAATGTCAGTTAACATCTTTGGAATAAATTGCTCCAAGTTCCAGGTAGTAAATACATGTACATTTTGTATCATGTATTTTTCACTTGTTGAACTTGTGGAAGCACCGTTGGCCCCCGGTTAGGGGTCATCCGGGGAACCTATGCCCAATTTTTTCAAAATTAAGGGTAGAATTTTTTTTGAATATGAGGATAATTAAGTACAGATCTTGAACCTTTCTACTGCCTTATACATCTGCAGTTGTACAGAAAATGTAGAACTGAAGTTGCAGGAAATGACCTCCATTTGTGTTTGGAAAAGCAAAATGCAATAGCTTCCCCCCCCCCTCCAGACCTCCCCCCCGCCGCATTGGGTGCTTCGCACCCTCCTCCACCCTGCTCTGA